GTTACTGCATAGTTGGCTGCCCACTTAAGGGCATACTTGTCATTACTCTAACTTTAATTCTTAATTAAAAAAAAGGATTAGAGTAGAAAGGGAAGATAATTCGATTCTTCTTCTTCTTCCTTCTCTTTTCGCCATCTTCTTCTCTTGTGTTGCTGCTCTTACTTCTCTTCTTCCTTTTTCTTCTAATCTTCAAATTTACACCTAATATTTGAGGACTGATTTACATATAATCCCAAACGTTATTTCTATAACTCAACAGAAAATTAGATAAAGAAGAACTAAGTAAAGCTGAGGATGCCCCCGATTGAAACTGCACAGCCTACGCCCCTTCCCTTTCACCTTCCCAGTGTACCAGTCATATATCAAACAACCATAATGAGAAAAGCTGAGAACATTTCCCTCATTAACACGTTGACCAACAAAAATCAGATTAGTAGTAAGGTTGGGTACTAAGAGGGTTTTGGATAGAGGAAAGGATCTGGTTGGTGATAGTTGAAGGGACAGATCATTACTACCTATGATGTCTAACTTTTCACCATTAGCAGTAATAATATGTTTATGGTGAGTTTTAGTGGAAGGGATTGGGTGATTGAGATAGGCTCTTGTCGTATGGTTGGTGGCACCTGAATCTATAATCCAAGCATGTGAAGGGGAAGAACAATATGCAGAGAACTTACTAGACAAGCCAATAGCAGAGAAAGCAAAGGAAATAGCAGAAGATACCAATTGCCGAACCCTTTCCTCATCCATGACACCTATTGAATCACCTTTCACTGAACACTCACCCTTGGTAGATACAGTGTCTGTTGTTGGTCCATCTATTGCCTGATAGGCCCGGGGCTGAGCCTTTTTCTGAGAGCCCTTAGCTAGTCGGACTGGACAGTCTGGAATGATGTGACCATGTTGCTTGCAATAGGTACACACATTCTTCTTCTTATAGTGAGATGTAATATGTCCAAAACCCTTACACTCATAGCACTGGGTTTTGGAGAGGTCCTTGGAGGTTGGCTTCTTACTCCCATGAGCAACAAAGGCTGTTTCAGCCCCAACTTCAGCCATCTTCCCATCAAACCTGGCTGCAGTGAGAAGTCTAGTCTCTTCCCTCAGAAGTTCCCCTAAAACAGAATCCATATCTGGAAGTGTTCCCCTACTCAGAATGTTGGACCTAATTATCTCATATTCAGGTCCAAGTCTCATCAAGAACCAAGTCACCTTTCTCTTCTCAAAGTGCTTCTGGAGATATTTCACACACTACTGGATCCGAGGGTTCAATGTGAATAATCTCATATTTAGCCCATTAATCAAGAAAACCAGAATAATACTCCTGTATCCTCCTATCTCCTTGGCTGTAAGAGAATATTTCTAATTCTATCTGATATTGTTTAGATACGTTGGACTGTTGATAAACTTTTTCTAGATACATGTACATCTCTTATGCTATTTTCATTCTCCTCATGGGTACAGATATATGGATAGTCAATAGAACTCAGAATCCAAGAAACAAGTTTACCATTATCCAACTTCCATTGTTGTAAAGCTCTGGCCTCGGTCTCAGCTAGTTTGGTGACCGTTCCATTCAGATATCCTTCTAAACCCTTTCCCTCAACATAAAATCGAAGTGGAACTTCCACATCCCATAGTTCTGTCCATTCATCTTTATAGGAATGATATCACCTGTCTGAAGCCATTTCAACAAGAAAATAACACAAAATAGGGTTCGGCTGAAGTTTAAAGAAACTAAACTAAAGTAAAACTTGATCTAGAGACAAGTAAAATAGGCTGTAACCAATCCAAGAGAGTCAAAAAACTGAGATAAAAACCCCTTACTTTCACTGGAGATTGTTCAAGATCCAAAACAAAGAAAGGCTGAACACACAGTCCAGAAAAGAAAAGTCTAGGCGCAGCCGCCAAGAAGAAGAGTCCAGATCTCTCTGAAATCTTCACGGATCTCCGTAAAAATTTCAGAATATGTTGAGAGGGGCTAGGCGACAACTCCTTTCAATTCTTGCTGCAAACGGAGGTCAGACAAGAGAGATCCAATAAAATCTCTCTCTCTAGATGCGTAGAAAACAGAAAAGGGGTTCCTGAAGAGATCAAAACAATCCAGGACCACTCGGCAGAGATGTAGGTTCTCAATAGATCACAAAAACAAAGTGGATTAGAGAGAAGGGAGATCAAAGAGTAACCTGCTCTGATACCATGTGAACTGAATTTAGAGCAAGAAGAAAACAGATCTAGGGGTGTCAAGAATAGTCGACCCCCACCCCAAAGAGTCTCTTTTATATTAAAGAGATAAAAGGTATGTACAATTAAAAGAATACCCTTACAGGGATGAAAGATTAAAAGAACAAATAAAATAATAAGAATTACGATACTGTACAACAAGGACTACTCTAATAATGTACATCAAGATATATCTTCTCATCAGTTAATAAGGTTTTTAACCATAGTAATTCCGATACTCCATGGGCCATTGCCCAATATTCTACCTTTTCACTAGAATGAGCAACAATTGATTGCTTTTTGCTATTTCACAGTACCACACTGCCTCCTACCAAAGAACAATAGCCAAATGTAGACCACTTATCATCAACAGACCTTGCCCATGGTTGGAGTATAACATTCCCTTCAAATAGGGAATGTTGACAGCTTGCATGTGAGAGAGGTTATGGGTTTATGCATATATTAATTCACCAAACCAATTGCATAGGATATATCTGGCCTAGTCAAGCACAAGTAAAGAAGGCAACCAACCAGTCTCTGATAAATCCCTCCATCTAGAAGAGGATCTCTAGGAAAAAATCAGAGGCCTCAAACGGATGTAAGAACCATACCAAAATATCCCTAAAATCAGGGCACACCTAACAATACCAATTTCAAGATTTGTGACCACCACCTATACGAACTATTGATGTCATCTGATAGCGGTATGTTAATAGGCCTTCCTATATATGATGATCAGCAAACAGAGCCCTCCCAAGATCCTTGGTGTGTTCTAATATCAAGTAGAGAAGATAGGGGATGGGATAAGAAAGAGAATAAGAGGAAGAAGAACATTTTCCTCATGCATCACTTTCCATTGTACATAACTTTTAAACTAATTTTAGTTGATCTTAACAAAATAATGTGTTCGAGTAGAAAAAAGGAACTTTAGAATGCCAAACAAACACTTTTAAATAAAAGCAGCCTACCCAAAATAGGACATCAAATGATGCCCGGCCTACTGAGATATGTGTGTCAATCTCCCTTTTCATATCTGCATCTGCATAGCATACAAAAAAATCAGGTGCACTCTAGAAGAAAATGCAGATTGACTACTTCAAATGACACTATAAGTGAACTGTTCAACCATTCACAGGATAATCAAAAGAGAACTAAAGAGCATGTTACCAACCTATAAAATGAAATGATGATCGCAACCAAATAAAGTTTTCATTAGATAAGTAAGCTAAAAATGCTACTTGATCAAGATGATTACAAGGTGCCCAAGAGTCTTTTAGCTGAAATTGCAATACTAGAGTAACAAGGAAACTGTAAGTCTTACTGACATGGGATGTAAATAAGTTATATTAGAAAGATAACTACAAATTATGCATGCCTCAACCCAAAACCAAAGAGAGAAATCAAGTCTTATATTTTGTGCCCTAAATTGAAGAGTAAAAATATTCCCTCTTTTCTTGATCTTCGAGTCAATAGATATGTTATTTGATTATGTATCAAACCAGGCCAATAAGTTTTGTAATTCTGATATTAAATTGGGATGTTTTCATCATTTTGGGTCAGGCACATGTTTCTGATGTTTTTTTTTTTGTTATTATAATTTCTTTTAAACTAGAATTTTATTAGTTTTATAATTTCTTTTGGCAACTGGTGGATTCTCCCCCCAGGATATGTTATGAACTATAAACAGAGTTAATTTCTAAGTTAGATATCTTGTATATTAAGGAAATTAAAATCTATAAATATGCAATTAATATTGATATTAGCATCGCCATGTTTCTAGAAACTCTGTATGGTGATGGACATGGTAAATGATAACAAAGTTGACCATGTATCATATTTATGATTTTACATATTACAATCCATGATTTTTTATTTCCATGATTGTAGTATGTTATGAACTATAAACAGAGTTAATTTCTAAGTTAGATATCTTGTATGTTAAGGAAATTAAAATCTATAAACATGCAATTAATATTGATATTAGCATGGCCATGTTTCTAGAAACTCTGTATGGTGATGGACATGGTAAATGACGCCAAAGTGGACCATGTATCAAATTTATGATTTTACATATTACAATCCATGATTTTTTATTTCCATGATTTTAAAAATTTTACCTGAATTCTTTAGATTTTCCAAAGATTTTAGTCAAATTAATGAAATATCTCTATACTTTCCCCATCTCTACATGGAGAAATGTCTATCAATATTGAAATTGTGAAGCATGGTCAAAAACAAATATTAAAAGAAAGTTCTTCTAATACATCAAACACAAGTTGTATATGTTAGACAGTGTATGCCCTTAGCTCCAATCAGAATGATGTACATTATGACATTTAATGTAAATGAATAAAGTACATATTTGATTCATGTTATTATGGTGTGTTTCTGTGTAATACCCTTAAACTGGACACATATGAGACT